GACACTATAGTTCTGTTTGAAATTTTTTTGGAAACTTTGTTGACCCATAAATATTATTTTTTTAAAACTCTTGGAATTGCATTGCCTTCTATTATGATGTTCAACTTAATAATTAGGGCATGAAAAATATTGAAGGCCTCACCACAGGTTCTTTTAATTTTCTAATAAAATTAGAGGACCAGTAGATTTAATAGTTTTTACCCAGATGCAATAAAAATTGTCGACCCTTATTTTACAACCTCCGTTATGACACAGCTATTTGTTCTGGTTTTCTGTTTAACATAAATAAAATTTATGATTTTGCTTACTCTGAAAAAAAAACCCCTAAAGAAATGGTTTTAAAGGTTTTTATTAAATCTAAAATGATGTATTTATCTGGAAATGTGGAAATGTGATACATAAAACTTCCTTTACCCACTGTTCAAAATTCCAGATTAAATTACGGTAAAAGGCCTTGGCACCCTGAGTGCAACATCCCTAAAATCCATTTTTTACCGTAAAATTTTAGATCGTAGTTTTTTATAGTAATGTTTATTTCATTATAGTAATTCAGTGATTTTACAGTAAATATTACCGATATTTTTTAAACAGAAAATTTTGTTTTTAATAAAAGAAATAAATTACATAATTTCTGATCTCAAATCTGCTTTTTTTCATAAAATATCAATAATATTAGGTAATTCTAGTGAGTTTGAAATGAAAATTTGTTTTAGTTATATATAAATGTACAGATGGTTGACCATGTAAAGCGGAACGCAGATGGCGCCAGGGGTTAAAATTCGTCCTAAGATTTCTAGTTTGCAACATTCGATTGATTTTTACGCATAAGCTTGAAAAAGCGGGCCATCCAAGGTTATTATATCTATAGTGATTATTTTTTTTATATTTTTTATTTTGATTTGGTTATTCTAACTGTCACTATAACTATTTTTTATCTATAAGTGGACGTATCAATTTTAAGTCCAACTATGTGTATTTTAAGTTGTGTTTGCTGAAACATTATTTTTCTGAGCTTTTCAATTCTTATAATGATTTTCTCTTATTTGTCTGTCCATTATGGGGCCTCAGGCCACTGTCAGTTTTGGTTTTTCCAATGACAACAGAAAGGCTCCTATGTGTTGGAGGGCAGTGTGTCACCTGATAAAGTGCTGTCTTGCCAACACACATATCTTTATTTTCATTGCTTTTCCCTGCTTTTTTGAATATCTAAATAGTGATTATAATAAACACGTTATTTCAATTTAAATTTCATTGAAACAAACAACAAATGAATTTGGAAGACGCCACAAGCATGCTATGATGCGATAAAAAAAAAATAAAAATGAAAAAAAAATTTTAAAAAAAACGGCAATATTTTACACTAGTATAGCCAATAAGGGATAATTGGCGATCGAAATAGGCTGCAGGTGGCGTAGAGCAGAACTCTTTTCCTATGGCAACACTTCACATGCTTTCCCCATTAGCGTGTGGAAAGTCATAGAGGAAGGAAGTACGTTAGTTTCTCTCTTGATTTTCATATAGATTAAAATCTTCTAACTTGAAAAACTATATGGAACTGAAAACTACATTAAACATAGTTCTAAAGAAAAGTATCACGGAAATTTTTAAAAATATTTTTATTAAGTAAAAAGGAAAAATATTAAAAAAAGGGAAAATATCGTAGTACATTCCTATATAACGGAAAAGAGGAGGAGAGCCAAGGGAGAAGGGCTAAAGGCATGAAACCGGTCTCTCCCCAGATGGCGTATTCGAGTGTTGCGATCGCGAATACTCAAAACCCGACAAACTTTACACTTTATTTATGTTGTGACATTAATTTTCTTAAATTTGCTTCAGTCTCAAGATCTGTTAGAATTCAAAAATTACAGAAAACTCTTATGAGTGGTAAAATGACGGGTAAATTAAAACACAAATCACAATGAAAAAGGGATACTCCGGAAGTTTTCTAAACTTCTTCTGGTTGTAAGAAGATTGTTATTGTTTACATTCAGTCAACCATCCATTGTTAAAAAAAGGTGACATGGCTGCTAGGTTTAGAAAGAACTCGCTTTTTTGACAGTCCTGATTTGGTTTCTTTTTACTTGTTTATTACTGTTTGTTTTTGTTGCAAGCCGTGCACTATCATATTAGTGTTAGCATATTGTTCGAGCAGGGAGATTAAGTTCATTTTATAAATTATCATTTAAGTTTAAATTTCAAAGTTACTATATTGTTGACAAGGGAAGAATTTTATATAATAGCGACTCTTTTTTTCTTTCAAATGACAATTTTTACGCCTTGAAATGACAAGTCTTCAACTGACGATTCTTATAACGACTCTTTTTTAACACAAATAATAAACCAGATAACAAATACACTTATACAAGAAACACTACTCAAGAGAGTCACAAAACACAATAATCACGCTGTGAGCCAAATGGTTTAAAAATGAGCTAATTTTCTATTTTACTCCACTAGTCGGGTAATCGGGTGATTTGACTTTTTCAAGAAAAAAAATCCCCGATAAAATAGTAGTACATCTATGACTTTTCAGAAATAATATATATTACACATTTTAATAAAATCTAACAGTTTCTATGTTGTTTTATCTCAAAGAGGCCTTCGAATCTTAACTTCACGGTCTAACTAACACCTTCTATAACTGAAAGCCTCCACACGGTTTTTTATAGGTTGTCCGATCAGACCACTGTGAAGGATATCAACTTTCCGAACGAGTCATATAATACAAAATCTAGTTAAAATAAGAAAGTGGTAGCAAATATATGACTAAAAATTTGTTTTATTTATGAATATTATTGGTTTGCATACCTGCCAACTTTTAATCCTTTCAAGGATGATTTTCTCCAGTGGTAGTAAATTTACATTTAAAATGCAATTTTAGGCAGTAGCATTCGCTGTAATTTAAACAAGCTTATGCGGATGACTTCAGTAGTATTACATATTAATGTATATGCATAATTTTTCTAAAAATAGTGGTGGATTAAAAATGTTGTAAATTAAGCTTATAAATGCAAGGAATATATAGAAAGCATATATTTTACTACCACTTTAAATATAGAAATAAAATTTTACGCCAAATGCGTAAAAGTTGGCAGGTATGGGTTTGCCTTATTCACTTGTCAACCACTACAGATTCAATTCTCAAATATATATGATGAATTTCTCTCACTTACATTTATAAAAGGTTTTGGGTTCATGCGCACAACTGGTTCACTTTTTTAACAGTCTGCACTGACTACTTATGAAAGACTGCGGAGGCTTTTTGATGTAGGAGGTCTAACCCTACTTGTCCCTACAGTATCTATATTTTTATTTAAATGAAATACCCAAGAAAATAACAATATCTCTATATTTAAAAAGTTATTGTATGATTGTTTCCTCAAACGTGATGTTTAACAAAATNGTCGGCTGTTCAACAACGGTTATAAAATAAAATAAATGAAATACCCAAGAAAATAACAATATCTCTATATTTAAAAAGTTATTGTATGATTGTTTCCTCAAACGTGATGTTTAACAAAATGGAAAATTATATCTACTGTTAATTTTAAAAGGGCAAACTCTCATAGAAGTCTGTCAAGTTCTTCCCCTGTTACTACCGGAGACGATTCGTCAGTTAGGCGGAATGTAATAATTGATTAACTCACTCCCACTGACTAAAGATTAATGTGGGTTTGAAGGCGAATATCCTAATGGGCGATTCTCCCAATATTTTCCTTTCCATAGCTTGTTGAGATGTTTTTTCGGAATCTAAAAAAATATTATTTGGAATAAATTACCAAAACTGTATAGGGATAGGGGCTAAAACATTGAAATGGGGTTGTTTCTCTTTAAAATTCTTTTTATTTTCGCAAATTTATTTTGAATTGAAGAACAAATTAATAATCTTAACTTCTCTTTTTATTTAGTATTGGTATGTTATGTTGGCATGCGTTGCTTCATGACTATCGTAAATCAGCTGAAGAAAGAAATAGCGAAAAAGCACATATAAAATTTATTTAAGCCATTTGAAATAAAAGTCAAACATGTCACTTGGATAGAAACAAAATAAACAAACATATTCAATTAACATTTTGAGCAATTGATATTTATAATACACTTAAAGCATTTATCACACATATTTGCTTCACTTTTAATTGTAAAAAATTTTTTTAATTGTAGTTCTGTAGAATCTGATGAAAGTAATAGTATCTTTGAGTTGCCATTTTATTTTTGTAGTATTTCTTAAGATCTTTGAAATAGTTTCTTAACTTATTAAATTATTTTTCTGAAGGAAACAAATTTCATGTGTATTTAATGAGCAACATTGAATTCTAAATTACTAAATTGTAGCTTTGATATTTTAGATTACTGGATAATTGATTTTAAAAATGAAAAATTTTTAGTCGTTTTTCAAATTACTTTAACTACCTAATTTTGAAATATAAATATAACAGCGTGGTTGGATTTTGTTAAAGGTGTAAAATCCCTAGAATTAAAAAAGTTTCTAAGAACATCTTCAAAAAATGTATCTAATGAAGTTTTCATTGCTGGTTATTATTTTTTACTTGTAAATTAAAAGCTGATTTCTGACCGTTAAGATAAGAAATAATTTTCCATGCTAAAAATATTGGAAATCATTTTATCATATTTCAAATAACTATAAAAGTGTATTAGTTATATCTTACTAGTACCAAAATACGAGATGTACGTATCTCGGATCAAAATAAGTGAAATGATTTATTTTAATTTCATTTATTCATTTCACCAGAAAAATACAGCATTTGATTTCTTTGGTTTCTAAAATGTAGTTTAAAAAAAATAATTAACATCAGAATTATTAAATTTAAAAAAAGTTAATTTTAAGCATTTTTTTTTTGTTTGCAATTTTGAGTGTTTATGTTTTTATCTTTTTTTTTATTGTGAATGTGATACATATTTAAAAACTATAATATATATAAGGAACATCTTTTCGTAACATATGTATGTATATATATATACACATATATCGATAATTGCAATTAAAATAAAATACAGCTTCTTTTTATTTTTCAAATTGGTTGCTACGGATGCATCTCCACGACTTTAAAATTTAAGGAACATCTTTGAAGTGTAATACAGAGATATGGCATGAGCAGAATATAAGAACCATGATAAGTTAATATAATTTCCTGAAAAAGAAAAAAAAACATTTACTAAAACAGGAACAATTCTACATATATATTATTATTATTAAAACAAACTAAATATTATTTATTGTATAAAATACGATTGGTTATTATCCACTACAATGTTACAAATATTAAGAACTGATGAGTGCGCTGAGGTGACTGTGTATACTAAGGTGACTAAGTTTTGTAGTATTTGTAGCTGCATATGTAGTATTGAATTTATTGTTAATTAGACTTTTCATGTACCGATCAGCTCTAAATGTTTAAATATAGCAAGACTGAAAAGAGCAAGAACTGATACGAAAATCTCTCATCATAGCATGTTTTCAGAAAGATCCAAATATCAATGATTGCCAAGATTTTTTTTCAACGATTATAACTTATGAAGAGGACTATGTTTTCATTCTGCGAAATTAAATTATGAATAGTTTAGTGATGAATAGTTTATAATTTAGAACAGTAAAAGCTTAACTCAAATTTATTACTTCTCAATGAAATCAGCTAGCTATAAGCGAAATAGTTTTACTACCAATTTTTACTTTCTTGCCTCCTACTTTCAGCCTTGTTATTAGTATGGGTAAAACTTCTGATTAAGATGCCTGTTATCGCAGACAAATATAGGCACTCCTTTAATGGGTATAAAACTTCCGAAAGCGTTAGGGAGCTACAATTTTCGAGGATGGTAGTTTCAAGAGTATATAGAGAATAAATGGATGGTGGGAAAAGAATATAACAACTAACGAGTGGACAAACTACAAAGTACACCGTAAAAAGTTATGATTTACAGATGTCACCATTTTTGGTGTTGAGGGAAACCAAATAAATTTTTAAGTGCAGAACTGTAGCTATATCTCGCAAAAAAACTATATGGAATTGACAAAATAAAAGCGTTTTGAAAGAAATTGTGCAAATATATTACTAAAAAAGTGCTCGTTTTTTAAACGATATGTTTTTACAATGAAATCATAATTTGATTCGAATGTGCATGAAAATACATGTTGTCAGTGAACAAACAAACATAGATTGAATAAATAAATAAATAAAACTATAACATTGAAAAAGCAAATAAAAAATGTGACTACATGCACTGTAAAAATTTCAGTTTTCCTCACCACCAAAAATGGTGGCAATTATGCACCAAATTTTTTGCAGTGTAAAATTAGCTTGAAAAAAGCTTGTCGTGAGAAGGCTCGGCCGTATTAGAAAAGTCATATATTAACTCAATTGACTACCCACTGATTAACAACAACCACAGTACTAACTATTTTTGCAGTTATCAAAGTACTCTCAATGAGCGCACAAAGAAGCACCGCGCTGCACAATATGCATTTGTATATTATTGTCTATACCTAATTCAATGGCTTTTCAGTGCTTAGTTCAACTGAGGTGATTTGCTATCTATTACTTTAACAAACAAACGTACCTGTTCCAGTGGCACTTGTTAACTCAACAAGTGTAGCTGTTAATGCATCTGCGGTCTTTTTAGCAAATTGCAATTTTTCAGGAGATATAACGGTAAGATCATCACATTTTGAATGGTAACATTTCTTCATTTGACCTCTGAAAGGACCTATTGATAAAAAGAGAAAAAATAATTATTCTAGGCTAGATTATTTTTAATAATATTTCGTAATATTTTCTTTGCGTGTCCTATGTTAATAGTATTCAGCATTGATCAATAGATAAACAAGCATTTAAAGAATTCTTTTGTTTAGATTTTAGCATTACCTCAAATTTATTTCTCATTTATTGGAGTTAATATGTAGTGTAAGTTCTCTGCTTTCATTTATGGCATATTACGGTATCCTGGAATCAGATTATACTTTCACCTTCTCCCATATTACCTAACATATCAATTCCCTATATGAAATATATAGTAGCAAGGAATTGAATTGGTAATGAGTACTTACCATTGAAAAAAATTATTTGTTTTAAAAGTATTTGAGGTAGAAAAATTCGCATGTTTCAAGCACGCAAAACTGGACCTTTAATTTCAAGACTCACCACCTGAGAATGATAAAAGCAAAACATATTTGAAAAAGAACAACATACAAAGCTGCCAACAAAAAGTAGCAACGAAAAGAATGGTGGAAAAAAAAAAACAAAGCAGAAAACCGCGGTAGCTGATAGAAACTGTAGAGGCCCAAAAATTCAAATCAGGATACAATTCTACACAGAATGAAAGGTACGTGTGAAAACTGATGTCATTAACTAAGGAATCAGCATTCTTATGAATGAAAGAAGATTTTAGAGCGTGAAATTGGGTTGATGTAACAAGCGTGGAAAGAACTTTGGAGTTATTAAAAATAAATTTATACTCAGGGTCCTGACAATCGATGATTTATTGAATTCTAGATGTCGAATATATCTGTCACGTTTCCTTAATTTATATTTTAGAGCGCGCTTGGTTCGTCCAATAAAGATAATGTTGCATTAGCTTGATGTGTGGTAAATGCCCCATCGATTATCAACACTGATACCTTTATCGCTAGTTATTAATTTGAAACATTTTTTAGTTAAATTTATTCATTAAAATGTGAATTATGAAGCCTATTATGTAAAGCGCTCCCGCAACTGCCCGTTGTGGACCAAGGGGGTCATGGAGGTTAAGGCCCCACAATTTCGTGACCACAACGCATGATTGTGGCAGTGTGATCAGCACTGCTCACCGGCCACTTTTACTTCCCAGACAAACTGTTATCCATGGATCTGAAGCTGGGAGGATAAAGCTGGTATGCATTGTAAACTGTATATATTTTTTTGCCAGATTCTTAATCCAAACTATAATTTAAGTTATGTTTTTAATTTCAATAAATTATAACTTTGAACTCTCTTCGACTAAGTTGCATAATTCCTAAAGATAATATTAAGAAAATGTTTACAAAATAAAACTCGAAATATTTTTTGTTATTCTCGAATACTCATAAAAGACAATATTTAATTTATAATATCCTTCCATTTTCCTAAAAAATATCTAACTCGAAAAATGATTGTATAAACATAGTGCTTCGTAATCGTTACTCTTAATATATATTTTTCGATTCAAAGTCAAAGAGAAAGCATGCACATTAGAAATCTAAATGAATATTTTAGCGAAGGAAAAAAAAATGCAAGATACATAACCTCTTCATTATCTCGATCCACATATGTGGACCTTCGCTTCTTAACATCTAAAAATACGCTATAAGAAAATTTATAGCTTTACCCTCACTGAAACATTCGTGGAAGTTTAAGCTTCTTTGAGTTTCCAATAGATACAGAACATGTAAGTTATTTGATTAGAATTCCACATAAACAGAAGTGATTTTCACAAAACGAAGCTAAATCCATTTGCTGGAAACGTAAGTAATTTTAAATATTATATAATTCAGATATTCTAAAAATAATTATTCTCCTTTTGACGTGGTCTGTGATCAGCATGAAGCCTTTAAATTTATATTTACTTAATATTTAAAAATAATACAATCAAGAACATGCAGGTCCACGTATGTGTACTTCTGTACGCATGGCGAAATTTAAGATAGCGTAGCAGTCAAGTAAAATATCATAGTATTATGAGTATTACATTTTATATCTATATAGTAATATTTCTATGAGTATTTTAATTAATTGTTCTATATTAAAGTACATTTATATATTTAATAACTTTAACTTTTTGTGTTTCTTCCCATGATTTTGAAATTTAAGCCCCAAGAATTAAATATTTTTTAATGTTATGATTAATGTTAGATTATTTTCAATAATTATTTATTTTGCGCGGTTTGCATTATTAAAATAGCTTTGAAACTGAGATTTATTGCAATATTTCATTAAACTTAGATAATAGTATTAAAAAAAAATTTTTTTTTGATAATTATTAAATATATTCATCGTTGTATTTAAATAGACCATGATATAACAATATGCATCATTGTTCTTATTTTAGGTGCAGTTTAACATTTGAAGTATTTATATTCTTTTACTTTGCTAAAACCTGAAGTCCACGTATGCGCACCTAAAATTGTTAGTCCTCTGGCAGTATAATTCCTATTTTGTTTATCTCATGGCAGTAAAATCGAAATTCGGAACAGTGAAATATTTTTTTACTATATTCCTTTATACTTTATACTTCGGAATCTTTATCTANATGCAAAACTGGCGATATATCACGATATATAATTTCTAATATCGCCCAGTCCTAGTTATGATTAATGTTAGATTATTTTCAATAATTATTTATTTTGCGTGGTTTGCATTATTAAAATAGTTTTGAAACTGAGATTTATTGCAATATTTCATTGAACTTAGATAATAGTATTTAAAAAAATTTTTTTTTTGATAATTATTAAATATATTCATCGTTGTATTTAAATAGACCATGATATAACAATATGCATCATTGTTCTTATTTTAGGTGCAGTTTAACATTTGAAATATTTATATTCTTTTACTTTGCTAAAACCTGAAGTCCACGTATGCGCACCTAAAATTGTTAGTCCTCTGGCAGTATAATTCCTATTTTGTTTATCTCATGGCAGTAAAATCGAAATTCGGAACAGTGAAATATTTTTTTACTATATTCCTTTATACTTTATACTTCGGAATCTTTATCTAGAGAGGTAGGATTAAAATCATCAAAACATGTTTGATCGCCAACTGAAACTTGAAGATGATTTTGAAAAACACCTTTCATCTCCACACAATATCCAATTAAACACGTTAAGGTTTTTTTTAACCGGTAATGAGCGACCATAGAAAGGGGCCTGTATTTTATAACCGTCGTTGAAAAGCCGACCCAAATTTGCTTTGGGTTTACGACTACTAATGTTCAACTCCGTAGCCTTGTAATTTTGAACCCAATACAGAAGACAAGGAAAATGCTAGTCCAAATATTGAGAGAAATTTGCCTTCGTGGAGGACTTTTTGATGGGAACTAACCCGCATTTGCCTTACATGGAGAGAAAAACCACTAAAACCTCCCGCTGTTAGCTTGACGTCAAGGGGACTCTAACCCATGATCCGTCAACCACTGAGGGTATTTTACGTCAGCACTGTGATCGGTGCGAGCCGGATGTGGAATTAGTATCGACCAGCCATCGCTGGGATTCGAACTCGGTTCACCTCATTGGAAGGCAAGCGCTCTATCCCCTGAGCAACCACGGATCAAAGGGGCCTATATGTAAAGAAAACGCACATGAAAAAATTTAAAAAATATATTTGTTCTTATCAGGAGGATATTTTCTTCTTTTATTTACCACTTTGGTTTCAAAAACGAACTCTGTCTTTAATTCAAATCAAAATATAAAGTTTATATTATTAACATATTCTGGTAGAAAAAATGACTTGTTTCTGCAAAATAAATTTAATCAAAGAAACACTTGTGCTACCACTTTTTCTTTTTTTTTTATGAAAGAAACCGCCCTTAAAAAAACAATAGGCCTCAAATGGGGTAATATCATCTTCTTCGTTCAATATTAGTCAGATTTTAATAAAAAAAAAATTTCCATTTTCTATCTCAAGTATTTAGTTTGGAATTCTTAATGTGCAGATTCTTTTGACCTAATTTTTATAAGGTTTTTAAACATATATATTAAGGGCAGCTTTTACGTATCACCATCTGCAGTTGGGGTTTCCATAACAAATTTGAAGCTAATGGGTCAGAAAAAAAATTTCTTCCTCACCTGTATCTGTTAATAGAACAGCATTCAAAGATTCTGGGAAATGAGAAGATGAATTATGGTACCAGAATGTTGCGTGGTCACTTGTTAAAAAGTTGACATGTTTTTCAATCACAGATGGTTCTGGTATAGAATTTCCCATGTCTACTTGTAAGTTGAACAGTTTGTATTTGCTGTCTCCTAAATCTTGCCATGCATTCATGAGTTTGTCACTTAAATTGTTATCCATCTCATTTCTTGATATCATAGCCAGAAAATTGCCTCGATTTCCAGTATTATTTACGAAATACTTGAAACCTGGTAAAGACTTAAAAAAGATAATATAAGTTCTTCATAAAGCCAAATGAGTGCAGATAATAATTATAAAATAATTAGAGTTTTTCCATTTCACTGGCGCAATTAAATTCAGCTATTTAATTTATCTGTGTTTTACAATTGTTTTATTAAAAAAATAATAGTAACCTGAAAAAATAATAAAAAATAATAATAATAAATAATAATAATAATAATATTAAATAATAATACAAAAAAATAATAAATAATAATAAATAATAATAAAAATACTAATAAAAATAGCAATAATAGTAAACAAAATAAATTACATTACATTAAGAATTACATTTGAATTTACTTGAGCCCGGTGACTTTATATTGGCAATTTTATCTCCTGCACCGGTGAAATTGAAAAGTACGAAATAATAAGTTCTTCATATGGCAGAATAAATACATATAATAATTATAAGAATAATTAGATATTTTCCATTTTCCCGAAGCAAGTAAATTTAGCTATTTGGCGTGCGAACCTTGCAAAGAGCAACAAATTGATATGATATTAACTCCATAAGTCCTCAAAAGTTCCCCGAAGAAATATCAAAACAAGCACCATCAACAAGAAATTATGAATCTTGCTGTTTTCATGTCAGGTAATCTAGGTTGTTACATCATCCACTGGAATAGCCAAGAATGTTTTTCAAACGAATTGTGATTACTATTGGTCCGGTGGCAAATTACAATGTCATTTTTCAACCGTTATTAGAATACATGGAATACACCAAAGGTTACACATGACCACCAAGCTACAAGCTAACCGTATTAATTTGATGATTGGTCCATTTTGAACAAGAATCCATGCCATGAAGAAACATTTTTCATGGTTATGGACCCATCATTAATTTAAAAGAGTACTTTTTGAGAACTAGGATATTTGACTACTTCTTTGAATATGCGTCTCACTCAAACTCAACTATTAGCTCTTACACACTGAAATGACTCATATAATTAAGCTATTTCTTTTCAGTCATATACTGTTTAACAAAATAACACTTTCCACCTCTTGTCTAGAGCACCGTAAGCTTCTATAGTTAAAAGGTTAAACTATAGCTTAATTTTTCGGATAAGTAAACATTTAGAGTATGTTTTGATTCGATTTGGCATGCAAACTATTAAAATCTCTCTTCTTTGAAATGTACCGTTTTTTGTTCTATGGCAGCAAGCAGTCTTAAATTTTAAGGCGTGAGTAATTCTTTCCTTTGAAAGATAATACGGTACAACCAATATTTTCACAAGCCCTGAAAAAGAAATGCAGCCTATTGTCTCAAGCAGCGCCTTTTACTTTCCTAATGCAGTGCTGTAAAAAGATGCACATTTATATATTGCTAAATTATTCCCTTTTGACACTTCTATGTATATTTATAATTAGTTTTATTACATCAATTTATAATGAAGATGAATAATGCGGTGATGTCATTACATGAACATCTATATATTGCTAAATCATGCCTTTTGTCACTTTAGTGTATATTTTTTTTGCATCAATTTATAATGAAGATGAATAATGCAATGATGTCATCACATGAACATATATATATTACTAAATCATGCCTTTTGTCACTTCAGTGCATATTTATAATTAGTTTTATTGCATCAATTTACTATGAAGATGAATAATGCAATGCTGTCACCACATGCACATTTATATATTACTAGGCATGCCTTTTGACACTTCAGTGTATATTTATAATTAGTTCCATTTTTGACCTCAATTTTTGACATTACTGTTTGAAGAGTTGGTTACTAGTTTTGATTCGAAAAAATTACTTAAAATTTGAGATACATTCGAGTTTTTTTTATTTACAAATTGAGTAAAATATAGTTATTCTGGAAGAGGATATATTCAATTCTTCACGAATTTCTCACTATCAAATATAAATATACATGGTGTTCCGTAGTACCGTACTTAACATATAGCATTAGTACAAACAAAAAGCAGTAATTGAAATATTTACATGGAAAGAAACTTACTTCTGCATAATCTATTGGAAGCTCTTGAGTGTTAGGAACATCATTATAGTTAAGAATGCCATCTAAGATAAAAGCACCTTGAAAACGTGCTCTTGCTCGTTTCAACTCTTCTGGTATCAAATAATGATCAACAAAATAATTGCTTCCCATGGCACCCTATAATGAGAAATTGATTTATTAACATAAATTGAAGAAACTGGAAACCTGAAAATTTCACATAGTTTTAAAATAGAATATTTGATGCACCGATTTTTAATTTTTTTAATTTATAATGCAGTAAAATAGGGTCAAACCTGAATATCTAAAAGCCTTAATAAGCAGAAAAACGTCAAGTACCCTTCTCTTAGTAAGAGATAAAATGTTGCAAGAACTCAACATGAGTGGGAAAATGTTGCATGAAACTTTAATATTGCTATCTAAACAAATAGGGTATTGAATGCAGCTCTCATAGAATGATATTATTTTCATCATTTTAAAAATAAAATACTTACATTTTCTTCGTGATCAAAAGCTACAAACATAAGGGTATGATTAAGTCTGCAACGAGCTTCGGTTATAATTCGAGCTACTTCTAACATCACTGCCAAACCACTTCCATTGTCATCCACACCTTCAAAAATAAATTGATAAAGTTAATAAAAATAAATTAAATAGGACATAAGCTCAATTACTGCTCAAAGCATAAAGCTAAATTTATGTATTGAAATTCGTCTCTTTTTATTGTTTAATATGTAGGTAGGTACTTTATTTATGTTGTACTAGAGCTGCACAATGGGCTTTTGGCGACGGTCTGGGAAACATCCCTGAGGATAATCCGAAGACATGAAATCGCAATTTTGATACTCTGAAGAGGAGATGTCAAAGTCTCAGAGAGGCCGACTGTTCTGGATTCGACAAAATATTTTAAAAAATGACAGAGAACTACAAACTAAAATATGCAGATTTCCGGTTAATTTTGCCAAATTTTTACAAGGCTCAAAGCGGCTTGATGGGGACAAAGTGTTGTATCAATTAAACCTTTGAATTATTTAGAAGTACAGGTGAGTAAAAACCCTAAAATTTGAATTTATTAAACCAAAAATCATACATTAAAAGAATACCATTCGAAAATAATTTATCCGCTGTGCGGACCAAGTTGGCCTCTCTGAACTTCATGTAAATAAATTTTCATTTAGCAACAAATGTTTTAAAGAAATTTTACGTGGCCCAATTTTAAAGATCACACTTGAAGCATTTCAGAAATAGTAATCTTTATACTCATCGATTTTGCATCGATCAAAATAAGAGTAGGAAGTTAAAAGCTCTTTTCCACTTTAATGCCATCTTAAATTAAAAACATTATTATATAAATTTCACAATCCTATAGCATTATTTCAAAATTTCTGGTATTACCTCTAGAAATAAGTTATTAACTTCCTTTCCTCATTTTAGTCGATCCAAATTTTGCATGGGTAAAATACATGTCATGATAATGTGTAATTCTGGTATTACCTCTAGAAATAAGTTATTAACTTCCTTTCCTCATTTTGGTCGATCCAAATTTCGCATTCCAAATTTTTGAAACATCATTTCAAAAAGCTTCAAGCTCGATCTTTTAAATTGTACCAACTGTTTTGCCATCTTCCAAAACATTTGTTGCTAAAAGAAAGATTACTCTTATATTAAGCTAGAATAGAAGTACTTCCATATTTTTGTCCAACCCCTATAATTGTCGTACCAGATTTTGCGTTTTTTGGAAATCACACTGGCAAGTTTTCTTGCCAACCTGCGTTCATTTCTATGATATTAGGGGTGTCAATTTGCTTCGCGTTGTAGGCAATATTTTTTTGTCGTAGCAAAATTTATGAATTAATATAAGATTCTTGGTAGTAAATTTTATTTAAATTTATTTTACCAATTTCTACGCAAAAGTAATTCAAACGTTTCTATAAACTGCCCTTTTGTTCTTGCTGTCACACGATGAGCCATTCAAATTGTCGGCTAAAATAACAAATATTCTACAAGTTTTAGTTTTTAATTCATTGCTACTTTATAAAAAATAACGAAAATACATATGTACAAATATTTAATTTGATTCAGAATATTAAATTTGTAATTATAATTTAAAAGTGAAGATTTGGTAGAGGTCGAGAGACTACCACCAGGGACTATATCTGTGACTACCACTTACCATTTGAATCTGGTACAGTATCGTAGTGAGCACCAACAAGTACGATTTCATCATCCAATCGACCTCTTTGAGATCCAGGAATTACGCCAATAAGATTTACACCTTCATTAGTTTCTTCAGTTCCATTCTGCAAGAAATTAAGAGACTCTTGAGACAAAAACATAGACAATGACACAATTATTTTGCATAGACTGATAAATTCTTCAATAATAAAAAAACACTAACATAGACTGGCAAGCATTTTATAGATAAATAAAATTTAAAAGAACTCTTTAAAACGATTATTTTTTAGAAAATAACTGATATATCAATTTCATTTCACGTTGTTTCTAATTGGGTCCTCCTTGGTCGAGTGGTCTCTACTAAAAGTTCTTTATAATTTGTCTAAAGTATGAACTCACCTAGCCATTCGTTTTGACCCAGGGTGGTGACTATGGTAATAAGGTATAACTATTTCAAGTAGGGGTGTGGGGTCATTGTTTAGGGCTGGTTTTGACTCAGGTAGGCGAGAGAAAGGGAATGTTAGTCCTAGAGTGAAGAGAAGCTACCCTACCGAAATGCGTTATTCTTGTTTCCATAGCAACAGATGGCCTCAGATTTTGTTTGTGGGGAGAGTTCTTACAGTAGACAAACTATAGAGTGAAGGTTGCAGGTCAGAATCTCACCGTATACTTGGATGTATTTTTGTGATATCCTTCTCTAATTTGTGCTATCTGTTCTTCATCTTGGTAAGTGTTTATAAGCCGTCATTTTATGTGAGCATTCAAATCTGCTTATGTATGAAGTAAAAAATGCATAAATAAATTGTTAATAATATTCTAAGTTAACTGACATTAGTCAGTTAAGCTCCCTTTAGTTGTTAACGTTGAGGAAATTGATTACAATCGATTGGTAAGGCGATAACCTGCCCTCAAAGTTGAGCACTTTACAGTAGAACAGTTTAACGAGAACCGAAACCGTGCATCCTTGGTTCTTATGCAGGCTGACAAAAGTGGTCAATCACCCGCTTACTGACCGCTTGCCAGTGATGCTTGACTTCGGTGTTCTAGTGGGAACAGTGTCTTTACAGTCAGTCCACTGTGGGACTAAAGATTTTCGTTTGAGTTTCCCATTAACGGTAAATACCCTTTTGTACTGTTTAGATTTTTGAAAAAATCAGAATCGTAACATGAAGATAAGACAAAAGCATGAAGTTGAAAACATATTAGCTATCATCAAAAACTGGAAAAGGAAATAATTAATTTCAATTGAAAAAAAAGTAATAAAACATTGAAATAGTGATAAAAATCAAGATACAATGCAAAGATTTTGGCGAAACTATAAAATTACATTAAAACTAGAGAAAATGGAAACGTGAAATGAGCATAATTTGAGAATTATGAGAATATGAACTATTAATCATGAGAATATGTAAAATAAAAAAAAGCGTAGTCTGACAATAAAAAAAAAGAAACGACTGTTGAAAATAAATACGATATTCAATGTTTTCCAAACAAAATACAATCACCAATGGTATCAATGCAATACGCAAGTTTCAGTACTAATTCACGAAATGAAACATATTACCATACCGAAAAATAGTTAATTCCACTTCTTTAAAGAGAATTACGAAAAGTATTTCACGTTTTAACATTTATTTCTCATTTATTGAAATCGTAACTAATAAGTTTTGTCTTTGAATACAAATCTTCATAATAGTTTTACACTAAAAAGTTGAGATGTTGAAAGCATAAATTGTACTTGATTGCAGTTGAAAACGTTAAAGACCGGTCATTTATAGCAATTTAGAAGGAAGTAAGGTAATAATGAAACATATTATCAAACCGAAAAATAGGTAATTTACTTCTTTAAAGAGAATTACGAAAAGAGTTTAACATTGATTTCGTATTTATTGAATTCGTAACTAAAACGTTTTGTCTTTGAAAATCCATCATCATTATAATTTTACACTAAAACGTTGAGATGTTGAAAACATATAAACTGTACTTGATTGCCGTGGAAAGTGGTAACGATGGACCATTTACACTGAATTTAAAGCAATTTCCAAGGAAGTAAAGTGATATTAATCTTCCTATCATGAAAACATCTGCTTAGGCACGTTTTTCACATTTTTATCCTTCATTAAATTCAAACCACGATTCTAAGTGCTCAACAAAATAAATCGCAATTGCATAGGTGAAGGTATAGTTTTCCAAGTGTTGTTCAATTTATTTCTTCATTTCGGGCGAAACAGAAATTTCTTTTCCAGATGTTAACATATTGAATGCCACGCAAATTTTACATGGCTCGCCTGTCTGGCTAAACGGCAAATAGCTACGAACTAAATTTGCAAATATTAGACAGATTTTGCTAGTTTTTAAATGGTTTAGCATGACATATCTGAAAAAAGTTGCGAATTATATAAGTCTACGAATTGTTTAGAAATAGGGATGGATAAAAATCAACCAAATTGAATTTATTAAACCAAGAATCACAATTAATAAACTACCACTTGAAAATATTTATTCGCTGTCCGGAACAAGTTGACATCTCTGTGTATATGAATAAAAATATTTTTGTGTGTTCTATATTGCATTAATTTCTTCAAACCATTTTAGTAATGATAATAATATTAAAAAAATAAAAAGTTTACACGAATTATGTGTTTCTAATCTTGTCTTGGCCAGTCACCGGTGACCCCCGTGACACTACGAACAAACTCAGTGCCGGTCACCGGTGACCCCCATCACATTCAACGTGCTAAACGTCTTTTGGATGTTTTTGTCAAGCATAAGAACAGGTGTTCTGATAAGATTTCGCAACCAAAATCTCGAGGGGCAAAATCTCGAGAACGAAATCTCATACAGACGAAATTAGGCGTGGATAAGATCTCACGCGGACAAAATCTCGCGTGGATAAAATCTCACGTTGACTAAATATCACGTGGATTAAATATCACATGGATTAAATTTCGTACGTGAACTATATGATAACAGAAAATATCATATCAATGATGCTAAAAATTTGATTATGATCCTGCTTATGTCTTTTCAAACGGAGGAACGGAGGATTTTTTTAGAGGATAGAATATTTAGAATTTTAAATATTGATGATTATGGTAACAGAATAATGCATGACTGCATCATTGGTATTGAATATAATTTGAAATTGCAAGTTTGCGAACAATCTTGTTGTGAGATTAACAGTATATTTTTATCTTGCATATTTTGTAAAATATTTAAATAAATAAATTTAAAGAAAAAAACTTTAATCACCCCGCTATTGATCCCAAGTCCGAGAAAAATGAGATGGGAGTTTTTTTTGAGAGATGTCCTGTTACAAAATTAATGATCAGTATACACGGTATTATGTTCACGCGAGATTTTGATCTCGAAAGATTTTGTCCACTCCAAATTTTGTCATATAAATAAAACATATAAATAAATAATTATATATATATACACACA